AACCTAATGAGAGCAATCTAATTAAGAACAACATAGAAGAGTGTTTAAGAGTAGAAACAATGAAACCCCTCTCAATGAATGACTTTTGGCTCAATTTCCTCACAAGGGTAGTCTCCACTAATATTCCATACTCATTTGAGCATAGCAACCTTGTCCACCAAAACATTACGAGCATGGTATTGTGAAGTGCAAAGATTATAATGCAATAACCCTTCATGGCAACACATTAGTTAAACACTCATGATCAAAACATGGCATATACATCTCCATTAGCAAGAAAAAGTGGTAGCTTTAACTAGATTTCACATTTCAGAAAAACTGCTTCGTTTTAGTTTTGACCGCATATCAGTTTTCAGTGAGTATCTCACAAGGTATTGCAAAGATTTTGACAAGCCTTACATGCTCAGAAAATAGACAAACAAACGTACATCTTTTGTTTAGATAAAATCCCATAACACAGATTAGAATTGCACGAAAACTGATGTTAAACATAGATAATATTGCAGAATCGCAGAAAATTTCCTGTTCCAGACCCCTGTTCGGAAAAATAGCTGTAACTTTCAAATGAAAAGTCAAAAAATTACGGGCCTTATATGGATGGATTCAGCACGAAAAACTGAAGAAGGCAGCGCGGGCCAAATCTTCAATTCTGTTACAGAACAAAACAGTTTCAACGAAACAGAAACACCAATGTTTTGCATGACTCGAAAAAGACCAAAAAAAACGAAATTTTAAAATAAAACGAATGTTACCCACCTCAAACCTAAACCAAACATTGTCCTCAATGTTTAAAAAGAAAATAGAAGTACGGACAAAGAATAGTAAAAGCAAAGAACGCGGGAAACAAACCAAAATGAAAATTAAGAAGGTAAAGAAAGAAGGTACCGAGTTGGGTTGCCTCCCAACAAGCGCTTAGTTTATAGTCCCCAGCCCGACTTGCGAGGTCATCACTCTGGATCATGCAGAGGAATGGAAGTCCGTTGTTGATCAAAATTGACTTCCAAGTATGGCTTCACTCGTTGGCCGTTTACTTTGAAAACAGTACCCTTTTCGTCGTGCCTAACTTCAATAACTCCAGAAGGAAACACTTGCAATATTGTAAATGGTCCAGACCAACGTGATTTAAGCTTCCCAGGAAAAAGTCGGAGGCGGGAATTAAATAGGAGAACTTTCTGACCAGCAAAGAAATCCTTCCTTAGAATATGCTTATCATGCCATTTCTTCGTACGCTCCTTGTAGATCTTGGCAGTCTCATAAGCTTCATTACGAAGCTCATCCATCTCATTCAATTGAATTGCCCGTTTTTCTCCTGCTGCAATCATGTCAAAATTGAGTGTTTGGAGTGCCCAATATGCCTTATGTTCTAGCTCAACCGGTAAGTGACAAGCTTTCCCAAAAACTAGACGATAAGGAGACATGCCAATAGGCGTTTTGAACGCTGTTCGATAAGCCCATAATGCATCATCCAATTTCAGTGACCAATCCTTTCTTGAAGCACTCACCGTCTTTTCTAGGATTCGTTTCAATTCTCTATTGGAAACTTCAACTTGTCCACTAGTTTGTGGATGATAGGGAGTAGTAACCTTGTGGGTAATACCATATTTAGCCAAAAGAGAATTAAATTGACTATTGCAAAAGTGTGTACCTCCATCACTGATGATGCTACGCGGAGTCCCGAATCTGGTGAAAATATTTTTTCTGAGAAATTTGACAACACCCTTGGCATCATTAGTAGGGAGAGCGATGGCTTCAACCCATTTCGACACATAATCAACAGCCACCAATATGTACTTGTTCTTCCAAGATTCAGGGAAAGGTCCCATGAAATCTATTCCCCATACATCAAACAATTCAACTTCTAGAATATTATTCAATGGCATCTGATTTCTGCTAGAAATATTTCCAGTGCGTTGGCATCGATCACAGGCAGCTATAAATGCATAGGCATCCTTGAACAAAGTTGGCCAGAAAAATCCGGATTGCAATACCTTGGCTGCGGTTTTGGATGCACCAAAATGCCCCCCACACGCCAATGTGTGGCAATGCCGCAATATGTCTTCCATCTCTTCCTCAGGCACACATCTCCGTATAACTTGGTCAGGGCAATGTTTCCACAAATACGGATCGTCCCAATAATAATGTTTAACCAAGGAGAAAAATTTCTTCTTCTGATGAAACGATAAATCAACTGGAATGATAGTACTAGCTAAATAATTCACAAAGTCAGCATACCAAGGAGCTGTAGATGATCGAATAGCATATAACTGTTCATCAGGGAACGTCTCCATAATGGGTGTTGCGTCATCACTCACCTCTGCCTCACTGACCAGCCGCGAAAGATGGTCAGCTACCACGTTTTCAGACCCTTTTTTGTCTCGAATTTCAAGATCAAATTCCTGGAGCAATAGTACCCAGCGAATTAATCTTGGTTTTGCATCCTTCTTCGAAAGTAAATACTTTAAAGCTGAGTGATCGGTATACACTATCACCTTTGCTCCAATCAAGTAGGATCGAAATTTATCCAAGGAAAAGATTACTGCTAACAATTCTTTCTCCGTGGTGGTATAATTCCGCTGGGCGTCATTCAAAGTACGACTGGCATAATAAATTACATGAAGTAATTTATTTCTTCTTTGACCCAAAACTGCCCCTACCGCATAGTCACTAGCATCACACATAATCTCAAAAGGCAAGTCCCAATCCGGTGCGACAATGATAGGTGCAGAAGTAAGCTTCTCTTTCAAGACATTAAATGCTTCCAAACAGCTTGAATCAAAATTAAATTCCACATCTTTAAGAAGGAGATTGCATAAGGGCTTCGTGATTTTGGAAAAATCTTGGATAAATCGTCGATAAAATCCAGCATGACCCAGAAAGCTTCGAATCCCCTTTACTGTAGTGGGCGGTGGCAATTTCTCTATGGTATCAATTTTTGCCTTATCAACCTCTATTCCTTTGGCTGAAATTTTGTGCCCTAGGACAATTCCTTCTTGCACCATAAAATGGCACTTCTCCCAATTCAAAACCAAATTGGTTTCTTCACATCTTTTCAGAACTAATGCCAAATTATGTAAACAAGAATCAAAGGATGAGCCAAAAACAGAAAAGTCGTCCATGAATACCTCAATGAAGCGCTCCACCATGTCTGAAAAGATGCTCATCATGCAACGTTGAAAGGTGGCGGGGGCGTTACATAATCCGAAGGGCATGCGCCTATATGCAAACGTACCGAATGGGCATGTGAATGTCGTCTTTTCCTGATCTTCAGGTGCAATCGGAATCTGATTATACCCAGAATATCCATCTAAGAAACAATAATATGAATGCCCAGCAAGTCTTTCCAACATCTGATCAATAAAAGGCAAGGGAAAGTGATCTTTCCTTGTTGCAGTGTTTAATTTCCTGTAATCTATGCAGACGCGCCATCCTGTAGTTGTTCTTGTCGGGATTAACTCATTCTTATCATTTTTCACCACTGTAATACCCCCTTTTTTCGGTACAACTTGAACTGGGCTCACCCAACTGCTATCTGAAATCGGGTAAATTATTCCAGCATCCAATAACTTTAATACCTCAGCTCGCACAACTTCTTTCATATTCGGATTTAATCGGCGCTGATGCTCAACTGACGGTTTAAAATTATCTTCCATTAAAATCCGGTGCATACACATGGAAGGGCTAATTCCCTTAATATCTGCAATAGTCCACCCTATTGCCATTTTATGCTCCCTCAATACTCGTAGCAATTTCTCTTCTTCTAGTTTACTTAGATTTGCAGCAATAATCACAGGAAGAGTTTCAGAATTACCCAAGTATGCATATCTTAAGTGGGGAGGTAGGGGCTTCAATGTGAGGGTTGGTGCAGCAATGACACTAGGTTGTGGCTTGGAGGTTGCGACACCAAGCTCCTCAAATTCACGCCACCTTCCAGGAGGGCGCGGTTTCATCGCTTCCAAAAAATACACCATCTCAGAAATTTTAGGATCTTCATGCTCAGTAGTAACGGAATGCACAAGGCAAGCCTCCAATGGATCACCTGGATTTTCTGCTTTAAATTTCTCAGAGACAGCTTTTTCCACTATATCTACTCGAAAGCAAGAGTCTGATTCCACTGGGTACTTTGTTGCTTCATGGACATTGACGGTCACCTGCTCATCAGCCACTCGCAGAATTAATAAACCTTTGTCCACATCAATTAATGTCCTCCCGGTTTTCAGAAAAGGGCGGCCCAAAATAATAGGGGTGTCGGCATCTTCTTCCATGTCC